CTATTTGAATAGATTTTAAAATGTAATTTATTCCTGTGATCATACATAGGTAAATTTTCAGCATCATTACTCCAGTCTTCAGTGTCACATGATCCTTCAGAAATCATTCTAATATGCCGATTATCAGTATTTAAAACAGTTGAGTACATTTTTTTTTCAGGATTCTCTGATGAATAGAAAGATCCAAAGATCAGCATTTATCTGAAATAAAAAGCTTTTATAACATTATACACTATTCCATTCAAAAGCTTGGAGTCAGTATAATTATTTATTTTCTGGGAAAGAAATTATAGAAATTTTATTTAGCGCTGCAATTTTATTTGATTTATAATACTTTTATCTAGCAAGGATGCTTTAAATTGATCAAAAAGATTATAACGTTACAAAAGATTTCTATTTCAGATAAATGCTGTTCTTCTGAACTTTCTATTCATCAAAGAAACCTGAATCAGATAAATAGTGTTCATATCGATATCGGAATTATATCGTATCGACCGAAATTAAGAAATATATCGTGACATCAGTTTTGGCCATATCGTCCAGCCCTAGCCAGAACACAGCCGAGTGAGCCGAGACTCAGCCGCAATTGGCCCGATTGCGCTGGCTACCTGGGATGCTGTAGGCTACATACAAAAGGCGCCGAAATGAGCGCTACTCAAACACGCCTCTCTTTGCTGCTCTTGAGAGGAAAGTAAACGACTCTTTCGTTTCCATCACTAGGCTGATTTTTATGCGAGGTCCGCAGGTGTTTTTGACCGACCAGTATCAAGAAACGAATTCACATGAACATTCGGATTTTTGGAGAAACATTTACCAACGTCGAGCCAAATGAACCGTCCGCACCTGCTGAAAGCGTTTTGTTCTGGATCGTATTGGTTCTACTACTGTACGAGCGAGGCCTGAAGAAGCGGTAGGATGTCAAATGCTACAGATGATGTCAATTCGTATCCACACGTACGTGTTTGGGCAGCGGGAGTTTCTTTGATCATTTTGGCTTTTTTCAACTTGATCATCAACTGGACCATAGTGCGCGAGGAGCGCCTGCGGAGCCACGCGCGCTTCGTCCTCGTGTTCCATTTATTGTTCTCCGCGCTGGTTTACTTCGCAGTATGCTTTAGCTTCTACTTACAAAACTACCTGAAAGCAGCGACCACGGCAACCATTTGCATGGTGCTAATCAGAAGTCTGATGACAAGCGGTTCCAACATCATCCTCACCATCACGGCGATGGCACTGGACCGTTATTTTGCCATATGTTACCCGCTCCACTATAGCAAAGTTTGTTTCAAACCCTGGCCATGGCTCATCGGGGTCCTAACATGGGGACTCGCGTCGATTATTCCTCTTACCCTATCGCCCAAAATAGAAAATGGCACTGTGCCCTGTGGCAGGAAATCTTTGCAAGGCGGAGAAATGCACAAAATCGTTTTAATATCAATTTGTACTGTTCTTATCGTGTACAGCTATGTACAGATCTTATATGAGGGGCGTCGTCTGGGTGTGTTGAACCGGCGCAACCGAGCTGCGTGTAGGACTATCGCTCTCCACGGCACGCAGCTGGCCGTCTTCATCCTCCCCAATTTCATACTGTTTTTGCTGCATATCCTTAAAAGCAAAAAGTCACTCGAGGGTTCCACAAAAGAGCTTTTTGCTGTCATAAGTTTCGCCTTCTTCAGCCTGGCGCAGTGCATCGCGCCGATAGTATACGGACTGCGTAAAGAGGAACTACTGGAACATCTTAATCACCGGTTCCCGTGTTTATCCGGTCAGTTGAAAAGCATTTTGGAGTGGACTGTCAACATCACACATCCCAATCGGCGTCGCCAGCAAAGGTAGGTGAATACAGTAGAATAATAATTTACCGCGTACTTGTCTCTGCGAAGGCGCATTTCGCATCGCAATTTAGGTGCATTTGGTAACGCGCACGTGCCATTAAGTTAAAACGTGTGTTAAGACTGTTTTTGTGTTTAAGACAAAAATGTTTGGCTTTTGCTTATGGTCTTATGTGGATTGTGATCTGGCGAAGTATTGCTTAGGTTGATTGGATTATCATACACTTAAAAATAAACGTTCCAATTTAGCTTTCTTTTACAGCGTCGTGTCATAGACACATTGCACTTTTTATTCCGCTGGTCTACTTTATCTTCTATTAACTGCTTTAAATAAGCAAAAAGACAGAAAAAAATAACCTTACAGACAACTCAAGATCCCTGTAATGGTTCATGATAAAAAAAGAGACCTAGGCCTTTTTTTTTTTAAAGTGAGTTTATACCCCTGAATTAAAAATGAAAACCATCTGTTTCACACTTTGCCCCTATTCTTGCATGACACATCCAAAGATTCCCCCACAACTCTAAGTCAAAACAAGCATCCTAACAATAGGCCTATTTAGGAACAGTAATTTTTTTTACTCAATTAAATATCATATCCTTCTGAGATGTAAAAATTACATGTCCTGAACATATGACACCATTTTATTTATTTTTAGTTAACATACTATTGCGTTTGGTATTAAAGTAACTTAAATAGGATATACTGGCATACTTTGTCATTTCAAATGTTCTGGGGGTGTGGCCAAATGTGTTATAAGAATATATATTATAGCAATATGGAAATATAATAATATTAATCGTTTGCTCATTGGATATTAAAAGACAATATAATACAAAAGTAAAAATATATTTGTATGGGATTCTAAATATGGTTTATTTTGCTTGATCTCAGGAGAATATATACTCTGGTCGACAAGATAAATATTTTGATAAATGTCTGTGTGAGAGCCACAAATCTGTTTCCACATCAAAATGAAGTACAGTCGTGGCCAAAAGTTTTGGCAGTGACACAAATTTTGTGTTTCGCAAAGTTTGCTGCTTCAGTATTTTTTCATTATTTTTCCACATGTTTCTATGGTATACTGAAAAACAATAAGCATATAAGTTAAGCATATAAAGGCTTTTATTGGCAAAAAAATATAACGAGTCAATATTTACAGTGTTGACCCTTGTTCTTCATAACCTCTGTGTAGCAATTTCCTTGCATGTGAGGCCATTTTGATGCAACGCGATGACGGCTGCACATGTTTCTTTGGAGGTAACCATTTCTAACAAGAACACAATGATTGGAAGCGCTTCTTCCCTCCTTTTATAGCAATCAGTCTGCTCTTACAATCTAATTAGTATGATAGTGATTTTACCTGACTAGTACTCATTCACACTTTCACATGTGCTGCTGATATGATTAGTCAAATAATGTTAGCTGGTCATTTTGTGTCAGGATCAAAAAACAGTGAAATTTATTTTTTTGTGAAAAGTTATTTTTTTGGCCAATGAAGCTTTTAGCAATTATTTAAAATGCATCTGATCACTCTACACAATAATCTAGAAACAATGTGAATGAACAACAGCTTAAGCAGCAAACTTTGCAAAACACAAAATTTATGTCACTGCCAAAACCTTTGGCCACGACTGTATAATACATCTTACTGACCCCAAAGTTTTGAACAGTAGTGTTGACCTATGATAAAGATTCAGAAAAATATTGATATTTATTCAAGGGAACTGGTGCTTACTTTAAATTATTTGGTGGTTTTATCAGGCAAAAGCCGCATTTCACACCTACGACCACAGACTCACGTCACGTGTTTTCAAACCTGAGAGACTACTGACAAAAATAAAAAATGTCTTCCCTACGCTGGTTTGCTGATCTCCCAGCCTGATCAGACTGGTTTTAGAGGGGTTTTGCCCAAATAAACTAGATGAGCACCAGCTTGTACAGGCTGGTGGATCTTAAATCAGTCAAGACCAGTAAACCACCTCAGGCAGTTTTCTTTCAGCAGTCAGTAAAACAAAATACCATACTGAAAAATTATTGACAACCAAATTGTACATGATATGAAATCCATGCTGGAATTTTTATTAATCTAACATACTGTGTTTATTTCAGGGAGCGGAGAATGACTTCAGAGACTTTATTATCAAGAGAGATCTCACAGACGACTGTGTGACATCTTTGGATTAAGAGAAAGACCTGATGTTGATTTCTTCAAAAGGAATATTTGCTTACCGAGACTGAGATTTTTTTACTGAGAAAACAAACTTGTGACTTTCAGAAAACTGAGATTTTTTATTCTTCAAGCCATCAATTCATTAAGTCTGAGTAAAATACAGCAGCTACACAGTGTTCAGGAATTACTTTTGCCAAATGGAGAGCTGAAGAAATAGTCAACTGTGTAAATTAACATTAACTGTAAATAGTACCAGTGACTTATTGTCATGTGAACAAGTAAGAATTATGTGGCAAGGATCTGAATTCTTATTTTTCTAATAGCTGTACCAATGTCTTCTCTTGTATCCTTTGTTTTGGCAAAACTTAACAGTATTTCGCAGTCATATATATAAGCTAGTGACCCAAGTAAAAAAACTAAAACTTAAGACTGTGAAACAGGTTCAATTAAATTGTAATTTTTGTGTAGTTAAACTGGTGACACTGCAAGGTTTGTAGTATTTGATATACTGTTTGTAACCACAGCATCCTGAGTTGACAAGACACACTGATATAATAAGATCACTAATGTTCTTTTACAGTTTCCTGTAAACTGTCTATTTACAATATAATACTGCATCCACAAGCTAATGCACTGGTGAAAGGACAAAACGTATGATTCTGTGAGATTTCAAATATTGTTAAGCACTGCAACAAGGAGTGAGTATTTACAATTACGTCAGGCCAGTGCAGCTGTATTGTTAACAGGCGTTTTTTGTATGTTTGCTTTAGAAGTAATCACATGCCTTATGGGAAATGCAACAGGAAATAAAAGGGAAAAAATAATTTAAAAATAAATGGCTTTACAAAAAAATCCAACGGGGGGAACAAACGTACCATCTTCTCTCGCAGGCATCATACATCTGTGTAATTTCTAAATTACAGAAGTTTATGTGGTATTGGCCATTTGTAATAAAGACCTTTTGTATTTATGTTAAGATCATAATGTTATTTAGTTCACAAGTCCCATTAAAAAAACCACACACATTTCTAAGTAACTGAGACAAACGACTTGTTCATGATATGAGAGTCAAAAAAGTTTCTATTTTAGTTATGAGAACAAACTTCTGGTTGACTCTGGATAAGACACTCCACATTAAAACCATGGGAACAGCTAAAGTTGAGGTTCGATATGTAAAACCGCCAAAAAAAAATGTTGTCCAACAATGACAAATTGAAAACATTTGCAAAATGCTAGCAGCTGGACCGGATATTGGGCTGAGGTTTGTTGACAAGTCTAAAGTGCTTCAGTCAGAGCTTTTAACACTCTTCAAAGCAGACTAGGTTTCACCATTGGTTAATTTTAATCAACTTTTTTTTTTTTATTTAGGCTTGATTACATATACAAAAAGAACTAAATTCATAAACACAAATCCAATCCTTCAATGTACACCTAAATCTGCGAGTCCTATTCATTCATTTACATACTTTATTTTGAAATATTAAAGCACTCCAGTGGTCGAAGTACACAATGTGACAGACTCCACTCATAATGGATTGCAGCACTGAACAGTCTGGGTTAAGAGATATGGGCAGGTGTGACTGACTGGTTAGAGAAGAGATGGTCGGGTGATAGGAGGAGGAGCAGAGCTTTAAAAGCCCAGAGGATGAGGAGATACCACCCCTCCGTTTTCTACCACAGCAGCAGAAATGGCACGCAAGTTCTTGAAGATCTGCTTGGATGTCCCTGACCTGAGGAACTTGATGTCCTGCATGACTCTCTCATGGGCCTAAAGGAAAGAAATCACAGATTAATGCTTAAAGATGGGAAGAAGTTAAAGGAGTAAAAAACCCCCCCCAAAAAACATGGACACTGAACTGACCTCAGTAACCCAGGTTTCACACAGCATCTTCTCATGCTGTGCAGAAGGGTGACCTTGGCTGACGGACCTGGAAGCTCTGAGAAAGGAAAACGAGTAAACACACACAAACAAGGGCAAATATAGTGTCATAAGTAGAGCTGAATGAACTCTCCTTTAATTAGGCGATTAACGACTATTTCCAGTAATGCATGAGCATCCAGTTTATATTTTCAATTACTACATTCATTAATACATAAACAACCAGATTTGTATGTTTTCAGAAGGAAATCTTGAGCTTACTGTCCCAAATCGGCAGAGCCTATCCAAAAGTGTCTATGATATTCTGTTAAGCTTGAATCTCTCATTCATTGTAACTCAATTGCATTTTTTAGTAATAGCACACCTTTCCTTTTTTAAAGGGATAGTTCACCCAAAAATGAAAATTAGTCCATTATTTACTCACCTTCAAGCCATCCTAGGCGTATATAACTTCCTTCTTTCAGATGAATCCAATCGGAGTTATATAAAAAATTGTCTTTGATCTTCCAAGCTGTTTAATGTCAGTCAGCAGGTGTTGCAGTGCATCAGTCCAAACAAGTGAAATAAAGCACATCCATCCATAATAAAAAAGTGCCTCACACGGCTCCGGGGAGTGAACAAAGGCCTCCTGTAGCGAATCGATACGTTTTTGTAAGAAAAATATCCATATTCAAAACGTAATAATCACTTTAATCTAGCTTGCGCTCACTGTTGTACACGGAAGCAGCTCCGGGCGGATGACGTATGAGTTCAGCGTTGCACATGCGCCGTTGAGTCTTGTGAAAACCAACGTTTGTTTACAGGAGCAAAAGAAGCAAAGTTTCCTCACTTTAGCAAAGGAAAACCAGTCTCCTCTTGGCTTATATCGAAATCCTCTGACATTCTTCTTTACAAATCCTCGTTTTGTACTTCTAATTCTTGACTGTTGTTTTTACCGAACAGAACACACAACGTAATTTCCATACTGTTTGCATTAAAAGCACGTGCATTGGCAAACACCAATGGCAGTTTTTAGTAGTGCCAGATGTCAACAACCACACATGCTGTGAGCTTTAGGTGGTTTTGCAGTAAAGGAAACTGTAAGGCAGGCAGTTATGTTCTCGGCAGTGTTTTCTTTCCCCTTTTACCTGGAAGCCGTTGAGCGCTACGAACAGTCGCAGGATGTCATTGGTACCCTCAAAGATTCTGAAGATTCGCAGGTCCCTCAATACCCTTTCCACACCAGCGTCCTGCATCAATAACATGTAATGTGAGTGTGAGACTGTGTCAAATTCCCACAAAAATAATCAATCCATTCTTTTAATTAAGTTTAAATAGGAAATTACACAATACATGAGAACATGATAGAAATCATTTTCAAAAATCCATATATATATATATATATATATATATATAATATGTATTTATATATGTATTAAAACAAGTGGAGCTGAGAGACTTGTGGTTCTAATCTATCTGATCAGTAGCCCACAAAAGAGACAGATTAAGATGAACTGATTAAACTCTTCTCTGGAAATGAGCAAAAACAGCCCATCTTGATCAATGGCTAGAGGCTGCATCTGCACATTTTGCATCCCAACTGACAAGAGAAAACAAAAACAAAACACACCACAGCCACAAAGTCAATTTGCAGACGTGACCTACATTCAGCAAAGACCAATTTTATCTGTGTATGGTTTTGTGTTTCGGCGTGAAAGGTTAGCACTGCCGTGTCCCCCCCTCGCTAACCAATCATATTGTTGCAGAGGTCTTCCTTTGCAAGACACCTCCAGTTTTTCCACCACCCCGGGACAGAACATTTAGGCCTTGAGAGGGGTAATTGCCCACACAGTAGGTGTTTTTCAGTGTTCACATTTTGAGTCACAATGCAGACACTATTATGTTGCAACGTTATTGCATCAAAATTAGACTTCCACCCTGACAAGAGTCTGGTTTCTGAAAAAGCTGACAAACATCTTTGAACAAAACCAACAAAACTTTATCTCTCTTATGTGTTTTTGGCACTGATATATCTAATGCACAAAATAGTAAATACAGTATACCTAGATCTAAAGCCAGAGAATCATGCATACCAGCCCTAAAAATTGCTCTATTTTAAAGCATTAAAAGAATAGATCGACCAAATATGAAAGTTTGCTGAAAGTTCAGGATGTAGGAAAAACTTTCAGGATGAAGATGAGTTTGTTTGTTTGTTGGAACAGATTTGGATAAATTTAGCATTACATCACTTGCTCACCAATGGATCCTCTGCAGTGTCAGAATTAAAGTCCAAACAGCTGAGAGATCACAATAATCCATAAGTAAACCATGTCACTCCAGTCCATCAATTAATGTCTTGTGAAGTGAAAAGCGGTGTGTGTGTGTGTGTGTGTGTGTGTGTGTGTGTGTGTGTAAGAAACAGATCCTTCATTAAAATGTTTATCTTTAAACAATCACTTCTGGCCAAAATAGGAATCCATAATCCATAACCTTGTCCTTTCACAACAAAATCCACCGACAATTTCGTTTAGAACTGTTTTTGCTTGTAAACTGTGCTTGATCTGAGCATATTTCTTGCCTGATTCAGATGAGACAACTTTTTCACTAGAGAAAGCAATATTATGGATAGTGGACTTAGCCGAAAACAAGAGTTTAAACTTCTTAATGATGGATTTGTTTATTACAAACACACAGCTTTTCACTTCACCAGACATTAATTGATGGACTGGAGTTGTGTGGATTACTTGTGGATTATTGTGATGTTTTTATTAGCTGTTTGAAATCTCATTCTGACGGCACCCATTCACTGCAGAGGATCTATTGGCGAGCAAGTGATGTAATGCTAAATTTCTCCAAATCTTGTTGTTTTTGGGAGAACTGTTTCCTTAAGGGATTATGGACATAAAAGTATGATTTGAGTTTCGACTTAACATCACAGATTACATTTTAATGTACATTTTACATTTTAATGATCACAATACGATCAACACACACACACACACACACACACTGACCTTCATGAATCCCATTCCACCCATAATCTGAATGCATTCATCTGTCACCAACCAAGCTGCTTCCTAGAGGAAGATCCAGCAATGGTAAATTTCCAATATATTCTTTAAACATTTGATCCTAAAAATTTCCAAAATATAAGTGTGGGCTTAAATACTAGGACAACTGGGTTGAACAATATGTTAAAAACTTACAGAAGCAAAGATTTTACTAATGGCCGCCTCAATCTGGAACTCTGTGGCTCCGCTGTCCATATTCCCACTAACCATGTAAGCCATGGACTAAGTCCATGGAGAAAAGATGAAAGGAGGGAAAAAAAGAAGCATCAATAAAAATGTTCAGAACAAACAAACTGCTTAATGTAATGGAAAACAGACACAGAAAACACAACAGATGATAAATAGGCCATGTATTTTTAGACTTTCATCACACGTGACCCATTCAAATCACTCTGAAATGATGAGGAAGCTTCCACTTCCTCTAAGTCATGTGGAAGTAAGACATTCATAGACTGAGCTCTGCAAGTGTACACAGCTAAAGCGCTGATATCTGCAAAGTCCATAAAGAGCACACTGACCATTAGAGATGCTTCGCCTTTGGACAGTGTAAATCTGCTTAATGTATGGGATCAAACAAAAGCTGCATTTACTTGACTCTATAAAAATATGTCATATAGTTCAGTGGTTCCCAACCTGGGGTCCGTGCCCCCCATAGGGCTGGCCGATAAAATGATAACGATAATTACAGTGATAAAATTTTCCTCGATAAAACGAAAACAAGAGTTTGATAAATGTTTATGAGCAAAAAGCTGAACGAAACAGCCCTACTCATTTGAAGTGCACCACACGGTGCGTTTTTCCGCTCGGCTCAAAGTTCAAACGGCAGCGCGAGCTCACTAGAGCAGATGCGTTTACTCGCTGATGAGTCTTAATAGGTTGCTAACCACTAATATAGTTAGTAGGCAGTGTGTGAGTCTCAAATTACCTTGTTCCCTGAGTGGAAAGTCAACATGTGACAAAGCACTGAATAAGCTCACCTCTGTCACATACTGAAGCATTGCCATTCTGGCCATCTTTTCCTGAATGGCACCATAGTTGTGAGTCACGAGAGCACTAAACAGAGATGTGAGATCCAGTGTGAATCGACTGAATTCAGCGAAGAACACAAATGATTTAAACCCCTTAGCATTCCTGTAAAATTTGCATAAAACACGCAGTGAACTGCGGGGCTGTTCAGTGGAACGCTATTAGGTTAAAGCCAGATGAAACAGCGCTGACAAACAGCAGAAACACTGTGCACAACGATAACAGTCAGAAGGCTTTTCAATCAACAAATCGCCATCATTTACCATGGATTTACTCTAGGAACACTAAAGGCACCATGGAATTATGGCAGAAATGTGAGGTATTCATATCGAATTTTATTATATTATTAATGTAGATATGTGTTAAACATATTAAAGGAGTAATGGAATATAATTACAGTATTTTTTGATTAAGCTATAGCATTTGTGCATTTATACTAAATATATTTAGACTGCTTTTCATACAAATACCTAGAAACCATATAGTTGAATTTTTACCATGGTATTGAGGTGCTAGATTTGTGGTTTTAACTCTGGTTATCATGACCTAAATGTATGCTACTATGGAAGAACAATGGTTAATTTGAATAAAACTCAAACAGTCAGAATAATTTAATTTCACCATGTAAAAATGAGGTTGTTACAATTTTTACAGATGTTATTGTTTTTTATAATGAACATAAATTTGCATCTGCATCCTAACTCAAGATACTACTACTGTCAATTCAAGCTACTGTCTAATGTGCATTTCTAAGTTCCTGAATGGCACCATAGTTGTGGATCTTGTTGCCAAACTGAGTCCGGTTAGCAGCATGGTCAACCTGTTTGAGAGAAGAAAAAAAGAGGAAATATAGAGACTATTTAACGAACTGGTGAACTCAGTTCTCGGGAAAAAAAAAGAAAAAAAGATGAGGTTATTTTGGAAATAATAGCTTGAAAAAAAGGATGCATGCTCATATATTCAATTTCATCCAAAAATTAGCTGGAATTATTGCAGGAATAAAATACATCTAAATGCACCGATGGGACAAAAACCTGACTGGAATTTTCATTTGGCAGTTTTAAAAACAAGTACGCAAATATGTAAAAGGTCATACAGTATTCATCAAATAACATGAGGGTACGGTTTTACAGCATATGCATTCCCAAATGCTTCCTTTTTATGACTTGACACTTGCTATGTTGAATCTAACCTTAAAACAAACTAGTAACTGAAGACCCACAGGGCGAGTGTACTGCAGTGAATAAGGTCTACACTTAGTTTCCGCTTTCAAGAGTTCCTGGTCTGAGACGGATACACAAACACAGATGCCTGTGGTAAGAGCAAGCACCGAGGCTGTTGAGAAATCACCTCCTCCCTCTGCAAGAAAACTGTTGTAGCCCACAATCACTCAGCAACTGCACATTTCATGAAAGCATATTGCTATAAGTGCACCAGCATCCTGTTCTTGAACATTTTGATTTATTTTTAGCAACCAAATATGTGCATATTTAAGAATTGCATTGGTTTTAGCAGAAACTTAATTCATTTTTCTGTATTTGGCAGACACTTTTATACCGACTTACGGTGCCTTTAAGCTGTATTTTATCAGTTGCGCAAGAACTTTCACAAATTAGCTTTTAAGAAATTAGCCAACTGTGATGAGCAATGAGAGAAAAATACGCAGGAAAATTGTGGTGAGGCATGTGCCAATACAAGCTCAGATGCCACGCAGCACGGGGACAGTGCAATGCGTGCTGAGGAATTTCCCTGCATATTAAGCAGAGGAAGTGAGGATGATAGGAGTGTCGGCGGGTGGGAGGATGAGGCCTTACATTGGCACTAACAAAACAGCATGCTAGACAAACTAAGTACGAGAAGAGGAAACGAAAAAGAAAGCGAAAAAAACTTTGTTCAGCATTACATGCTGAAAGAGGCAAACAAACAGAACAAACATCAGATAACGTTCACTTATGCACACATACGCACCGCTTTGGAGATGACACCCTTCATGGTGCCAGAGAGAGCGGCGGCCATGCCGAAGCGGCCATTGTTGAGGATGTTCATGGCCACTTTGAATCCACCTCCAACCTCTCCCAGCACACACTCCGCAGGGACACGCACGTTCTCAAAATACACTTCTGCCGTGTTGGATGCTTTGATGCCCATCTTTTTCTCAGGTGGGCCACTGAGAGATAAAGAAAAAGAGATGATACATTTGAAGTGAATTTAGAAAGAACAACAGATAAAGAGACAAGAAAGATGATGATGACAGAGAGGGGAAATGGTCCACGAAAATTTCAACTCAACAGATTCTTGATCAGAGAACTGCTTTGAAGCAAAACAAGCACTTACTGTGTGACTCCTCCGAAGCTCCTCTCCACAATGAAAGCTGTAATTTTATCCTTCATCTCTCCAGTCTTCTCATCCTTCAGAGGAGTCTTTGCAAACACAGTGAAGATCTCAGCAATGCTTCCATTACTAAGACAGAGGAGGCAAAGAACCTGCTTATTATCAATAATGCAATATGCTGGGGTATTCAACCTTTTTCAGGCCAAGGACCCCTTTGTGAATGGAAATATAGAGAAGGGACCACCTGTTACATATTGTTAGAATGTGTTCATTCTAAAGGCCCATTCACAGCTAGGATGAAAACTATAACAATAACTATAAAGTTTTAATTATCTTTTTAATTCTATGACAATAGGAAGGTCCACATCACAGCAATAACGATAACTACACAGAGGAACAATTTCATTGGAATCACTTTCAGGATTTTTCCAGCTGATGAATGGACAGAATACATACAATTTTAAACAGCTTGAGCTTATTAAAGCAGTGAAGGACAAAACGGCAATGTGTGGTTATAATAAACAGAACCATATTGTGTGTTGGTGTGGACGCCAATATAATTATCATTATAGTTATCGTTCTTGGTGTGAACAGGGCTTAAGCTTGGACTATAATAACATGCATACAGTACTATTTTAATGTATTTGTATACTTTATTATTATGCTTACATAAATAATGATGATTTATTATTCATATACCTGCACATTTTAATTTTACTTGTGAGAGGGCCAATGAAACATTTAACTGAACTTCAACTTCTTGACTTGAGCTTTGGAGTAAGTTAACATAATACTGTATTTTTGTTTTCGCAAACCACGTTAACACATTTTCCATTTCTTTTTGCTTTTTTTAAACTTTGAGATCAAGTAATAATTGACTCCGTTGCAAACCCATGCAATGTAACAATTAACTAGATTTTTTACATTGTCTAAAGAAAATGTGAGTGATGCTTCCTCGTTCTACATTTGTTGTCATGCAATTGTTCTCAGTTGTTTATAGTGTTTTTCTAAAGTGTTCTGGAAGTTTCTTGATGGCTAAATCCCAAGTCTCTATAATATTCTGGTCTCCTCCACCATTATAAATCTATGGGATTTTTTTTGCCCAGTTTACATCCATCAAGCCACCAAAATTATATTTCATATTCATTTGAAAAGTAGCAGAACACCTCACCTCATCAAGCTGCACAATTTGATTGTATCGGGCAAGCGTGACAAAGTTTAATACTTAAAGTTAGGGGTTTAGAAAATCCCTTTTGCCTCCAGTATGAACAATAAAAACCATGATGCCTGCTAAGCTCCACTAAGTATAACAGTTCTTCACACTACTAAACTTAGTATATTTAGTTACTCACATACATTTATGAGTTGCTAAAATGCACTGTGAAAGTTCTCAGGTTGTTATTAGACTTCAATGAGGAACACACATGAAGGAGACAGAAATCCCCCCCCCCCCATGACCAGAAACCTGTTTTGAAAGACTGTACTGCTGAGAGAGGCAATTAATGGCAAGATGACATCATACAAGCGGACGTGAACCAGCCTGTAATATGTTTAGTGACGATGCCCCCTAGTGGCCACAAAAGAGGTGAACATCTTTGCCACAAAAGAGGTGAACATCTTTGCCACCACACAATGTGTGTGGGTGTTTGTGTGTATTTGTTAAGAGTAAAATCCCATCACACACACCTGATCCAGATCTTGCTTCCATTCAGGGTGTAGTACTGGCCGCAGGGGGAACGAACTGCATTGGTTTTAATGGAGGCTGCATCAGAACCACTCGCTGGTTCAGTAAGACAGAAGGCAGCAATGTGCTCTCCTACCAAAAATACACAGGACAGAGTTATTATTCAACAACCATAGACCATAGTTCACGCAAAAAATGAAAATACTCTCAAGAATTCATATAAACTTTTTAAATATTTATATTAATGAATTATCTGAAGAATTAAGCGACTTTGTATGCTGGATGTATGCTTGGTAATACTATAATCATTTTATGTACGCTGATGATTTAGTTTTTTTTTCCCTGAGTAGTGTTGGTTTTCACCAGCTGCTAAATATATGTTCTGATTATGGGATTAGATATGATGTACAATATAATACAAAAAAAATTGTTGCCATGATATGCAGAACAAAAGAAGATAAAGATCTTAATTTCCCAGATTTTTATCTGTCAGGGCAAGTATTAAATGTGTGCACTAAAACAAAATATTTGGGTCACATTATTAATGATGAAATAAGTGATGATGAGGACATGTACAGACAGCGTTGTAAGTTTTTTTAGAGCATACTGTATTGTATTTTTTAGAGCATCTTTTTATACTGCTCCTTTGTGAGTTAAGTTTAAAGAAAGCCAATGCAAGCTTCAGGTTGCTTACATTGACTATCTGAGGATCTTGCTGAAATAAAAACAAGGTGGAGCAGTGCAAGTGATCTATTCTGAAAGGCAACAGTACAATCCTTTCCGGCTTTAATGAGAAATTTTATGTATAAATTAATTTGTCGGTTGGATGATTCACAGAATGCTATTAAAATGTTGCTGTTAAATCCTAGGCTTACTGTGGTGCGATATCAGTCACTTAGGAGAAACCATTGGTATAAATATCTTTTTTAATGTGTATTGCTTATGGACCTTGAGTCTGGAAATAAAGTTGAATCAAACTGAATCAAATCTCCTTTTAAGAAGACTGCTCATTATGGGTTTTTCAATTTCAGATTCTTACAATTTTTAGATTTGGTCTGCTAATCTTGAAAGTTTGGTAACATTAGTTGAATATTTGTGAACTGTGCAGTGAAGTTTAGTCTAGTTTTTATTTGTTTTTATGTTGGTGTGAATTGACAGTGAACTAAGATTAAAGATAGTAGACCAAAAACACACATTTTAAACATTTGTTAAAAAAAAAAAAAAAACATAAAATATTGTTTGTTATACTATTGTGCAATATTTGTTTACAATTCTTTAAAGTGCATTTTATGAAGTTTATTCAACATGAATACATGACTTAAATCATAGTTTGCAATTATGTGTTTTCTAATTAATCATCAACCAATTTTTCACTCATGACAGCCCCATTTGGAAGAGTTATGGCTGACTTTGTGTGTCAGACAGAAAATAAGTAAATGTATTTTTTATAATACAGGATGAAACACTGACAGTACAAGAATTTATTCAAAATATGCCCAAATATTATGGCTATTTCTAAATTCTATGTTAAGTCTAAGTCACAGTTAAACATTGGCACAGTTGTTTTGTGTGCTCTTCACATTATCAAACATATTGTAGCTCACTCACCAGTGGCCAGCTTTGGAAGGTACTTCTCTTTCTGCTGAGGGTTTCCAAAAAGCAGGATGCCTTTGAAGCCAATGGACTGATGGGCACCAAGAGTGATGCCCACACCCAGATCATGCATCCCAACAATCTCCACCAGCCTGGCGTACTGTTAACGGAGCGGTATATGCATAAATTTCATGTGCATCTCTAGGTTTCTCTATGTTTATGTCTCTACCTCCTATTCAAATGGAAGCAAAATGAGAATGGATCTTGTGATCTTACCTGTGTGTTGGTGAGGCCCACGCCACCAAGTTCTGCAGGCACCTGAAGACCAAAAGCTCCCATCTCCTTCAGGCCTTCCATTGTGTGTTCCTCCACCTTCTCCAGAGCATCATTCTTCATGGGGTCATTCACTTCCTGAAAACACACATAGGAACATTGCAAAGAAAATGAGAGAGAGAACAAAAAAAAACAGCTTGACTGCTTACATATTTCTGCTAAAATCTCAGTGTCGTGAGCTATATTTTAGTTTAGTATATTATATTAAAAGAACGTTTTGGAGGTAATAAAACTTTAAATACCTTTAGAATAAAGGTGGATAGCATAAATATTGTTTTGTCCAATGATGGGACACTTTCTCAAGATTGAAGTTTGAGCTTAATTTTCTCACATTTGTCCATTGTTTGAGTTTTCAATGCTATGTACAATGAGTGTTTTTAAATATTTAAGGAAATCAGTCTATAAAAAATGAATTCATAATTCTAAAATAGAAAGGTAGGTGAAATAATCTTACCTCAAAAAACTTACTGCATGGCCCAACTAACTCCTTGAGGAACTGTGACTGCTCTTCATTGAGCACTATATGGACGAATGAAAAAATATTCAGGGGAAAAAATACAGTAAACTTACACTCAGCAACACTGAAGTGTGAATATAATGCATTAACAATACAAAAAAAACCTAATACTATAACATTAAAAGCAAAAATCAGTCTAAAATCAACATTTTCCAGTTTTAGCAAACATTTTAAAAATCAACATCTGGTGACAACACAATAACACTAGGCCAATGTAACAATGCATCTAAAACACACTTTGGCACAGGGGAAAAAGACTTTGGAGTCACCTGAGGGGAAGGGGAACACCTGAGAAGTGCTGATTTGCCCTTTGAACATGTTCACAGCAAAGGACTTTGACTCCTGAGGGGAAAAATTAAGAGCCTCTTACAGTAATAACAACACTGTGTCTACATTATAGAAAGATCACAAAAGTGTGTGGCATCATATTTGTTTTATAACTCATCTGAAAATGTCTCAAGAGAATAAAAAGCAGCATTTGCAGTTATCATAAGATTTGCCTCTCAAATCAATACACAATGTGACTGAATCCAGCACATACACTCACGTACCACAATAGCCATCTTATCAACCTTCTCAGCTGTCATTGCAGCGTCGCTGCCGACTACATTCTTGTCCAGAACAGCCTTGGAAAAATAACAACTGCAAGTTAATGGTTTGTTTTTATGCATGTAACAAAACAACACAGCATTCTCATTTTTTCAATACTGAATAACCATTGGGCTAATATTGCTTATGACTTATTTTGTTGGTTTAAATGTGAGTGAGTGACGTGACATGAGGCCAAGTATGGTGACCCATACTCGGAATTAGTGCTCTGCATTTATCCCATCCAAAGTGCACACACACAGCGTGAACACACACCCGGAGCAGTGGGCAGCGGCGCCCGGGGAGCAGTTGGGGGTTCGGTGCCTTGCTCAAGGGCACCTCAGTCGTGGTATTGAAGGTGGGAGAGAGCGCTGTACATTCACTCCCCCCACCTACAATCCCTGCCGGTACGAGACTCGAACCCACAACCTTTGGGTTACGAGTCCGACTCTCTAACCATTAGGCCACGACTTCCCCTTTTTTTTTCTTTTTTTTTTATGTGAGTGAGTGACGTGACATAAATGAAAGTAACTCTAAAATAATTTACTAGATTAATGTTTTCACATTTGCATTTGTTATAGGGCTTTCTAAGCTCTTCTACTGAAAACCCTTTTTGGTTTGGTGGGTTCAAGTACAATGTGACAAAGATTTCCATGGCTTGACATTGTGACAAAAAAGGACTACCAAGCAGAGCAAAGAGCAATGACAAGGAACATATTACTTTCCCTTATAAACCTTCTCTCACACACAAACAAATAACCTCATACACAACACACAAGACAGTGTGATCGTGAATCAACTATAATAATATTTGTATATTTTCCTTACCATCTCTGAATATTTATTCTGACATGTAGCATCTGATTTTGTGTAGGTCAACCACAATATTTACGTAACACGTAAGACCACATGGCAAAACGCCTAGTGCCAAGCTCCTGTGTGTCATGTGACCTGGAAGTGAACTTTACTCCAGATTTATACTAATGGGTGTCTGAGGACAAGCACCCGTTTTGTTTTTCCACAGGACCTGACCGGATTGGCTACAGCACGATCTGTTGTGTCAGTTCTGGTCACAAAGTACTTGAACTGACTCTGTGACATAACCTATGTTTGAAAATGTGATCATGAATACAGTATATTGATATGCAATGATAAGTCTCACCTCTGCGGCCTGGCTCGCGTAAAAACGAGCATTTTGCACTGCCACAAGAGCTCCAGTTTGGCGCTGCGCTCTGACAAAGGAGAGAAAGTTGGAAATAATCATATTATGACAGTCATATATTGTCTTAACCTCTTCTGCATGTTTCTGTCTATCTATCTATCTATCTATCTATCTATCTATCTGTCTGTCTGTC